TTTTCGGCACTCCAGCCAAAAAACATTGCCTACCCCTGCTTTATAAAGTGATGAGGCACCGTGTGGGCCTGGAAAGTTACAGTGCTGCCTGCCTCCATCTTGTAATTGTGTCCTTGGCTGGCAGCCTTGTTCCCTTCCCAGGTCTGCCAAGTTGCTTTTGGCACAGAAAAGTGGCAAGAAGGTTCATTAGTTTTTGGAACAGGTATCTTTAAATAATTAAGCAGTTTAATCGAGCGAAGTGGAATCTTCCCTGGTGAGGATTTAACACAGAGATTGCGCAGCACCTTGTAGGAGCCAGGTGCCTTCCAGGCAGGACAGAAAGGCTCCTGGTGCACAGATCTCACAGTCTACCAAGACAGATGAAGGCAGAGTAGTGTAACAAATAACCGTGGGGATGGGGAAAGGAGCGGCATGGGCCTTGCTAGTTCCAGGGGTTTGAAATGAAGTTTTGCAGCTATCCTCAGCAGCCCTGATCTAGACCAGTTATTTTTCAACCCAAACCTTCTCTCATTTCTTCAAACCCACTAAAATCCTCTTTCCCTGCCCTCACACTATCCCATGGGCACAGTTTCCTACTCTCCTCTAGGGCTCCCAACTCTGTTTGAATCTATTCCAGGAGGTTTCTGGAACGCCAGTGTGCCCATGACACACAATGCGAATGTGCCCACATGCTTGCATATAATAGTTATGGATTACGGTGCACAGACTTTACGACAGGAAGGTAAATGCATGCACATTTACCTTTACGTCATGCATGCACATGACTATTCCATTTTAAAACCTACTGAACTATGGTATAAATCAGATCCAACATTTAATATTTATTTTAATGAATGTCCTTTCATTTCTCTCCTGGGTGACCCTCAGCAGTGTCCTGGAGATTTATATCTAATTCCTGGAGACTCCAGGACAATTCTGGAGGGTTGGCAACCCTACTCCCTTCAGAGGTAACAAATCATGCCTCCCCATAGGCTCTCTATGCCCTTTAACCTAAATCAGCCCTTTCCTATCACTGGGTGGTGTTTTCCTCTCCTCAGAGTTAACTCAACCCTCTGCGAACGCTTTCCTATCACAGCTAAACCCTGCTGCCCTGCGATCTCCCTCAGAGCTAGCCCACCTCCCTCTTTGATGCTCCTTCTCTCTCTAGCTATCTAGACTCATGCTTTCCCTGCAGGCTCCCCCTCTCTCAGCCAGATGGACAGGTGTCTAGAGCTGTGTATAACATGACCAGACAACTGGACCACTAACCCACTGCTGCAGTAGGATGCACTTTTCTGCTATCATGGTGTTTCTTCCTTGTCTACTGATCATTTGTTTGATTTTGCTCCCCACTTCCTGATCAAGACCAGAACCAGATGTGAAAAAGGCTCTACTTCAGGAGTGTCCAACCTTTTTGAATGTGGGGCCGGATCATGA